TACGGAAATAGATCTATGAAATAATAAAACAAAAAAAAAATACATATATTTCATTTATCTATGAGATTAATATACCGATTTTGAAAGAGCTCCAATGGAGTTAATAACTTGATCTTTATTTTGACCTTTGTTGACATATTCATTACCGACCTAGATATTTATATTAATAAATAATTAATTATTGATCATTATGAAAATCAATCAAACCTTAATACGAGGTTTAAGTAAACCTTTAATAAGGTCAGCTGCTTCAACACCAAGTAAATGAGCAACTTTTTCAACTTCTTCTGTACCCTCAGTTTCAGCTTGTTCTTCTCGAGGTCGTTGTTTCCATTGAGAATTACCAAAATGCATTATAGATGCAGTACATTTGAATAAATTGACCTTTTCTTCCTATAAAATATTAAATAAAAAATGTAAAATAGTATAATTAATATATAAATATTAACCTTGGTAAAACCGAGAATATCAAAAGCTTCATCAGTAAGTCGCATTTCTTCAGCATCGTCCACGTTATCAATTGTAAGCATACCTTGAGCTACATAAAAGAATTTCGATGGATCATTGTCAATTAAACATTGTTCTAAATAAAAAATAGTAGATATTTTAATAATAATATATTTCATAATTAATTCATATGTACCATGATATGCAGGAAATGCATTTGAGCAAAGTTGATAGAAAATATGATAGTTACGTTCAGCTAAATAAATAATTCAATGATCAATTGCTTTTTTTTTTTTTAGAAAAAAAAATCAAATTTTACCTGGTTGCTAAAAAATAAAAATAAAAAAAATTAGTATTATTCATAATTATATATATATCTTAATGAATGAAATCTTTCGAATAATTTTCTTCCTATATGTAAGTCTGTCAGAGAGTTGTTATTTATCATATCAATAGTTACATTTATGTATACAATGAGTTAAAATAGTAATGTATATATTAACTATACTAATATGAAAAAAAAAATTGTTTCTTAATAAATAATCTTCTGACAAAGTTACATATAAACGAAAAAGATCATTGAAAAAATTTTGTTTTCATCACTATGAAATAGCTTACCTGAAAGATGACACGAGATTTTTCTAATAGATATACTTCAATATCAGCACCAGCAATTTTACCCGATGGACCAAAGTGAATACGAATGAATTTACCCTGAATAGAAATATTTTCATTTATGAATTTTATCATTTAATCATAACTTACAAATCGAGATGAATTATTATTACGAGTGGTTTTTGCATTACCATAAGCTTCCAAAACGGGATCTAATTAAAGTAATAAATAATTTTTTTTTGATAATGAATATGATAAAAAAAAAACATTTTAACTTACTAGCTGATACAATTTGATCTTCAAGTGTCATGGTTTTCTATGATTTTTTTTATAGAAAAAAATATAAGATTATTATTATTCATTTTTTTTGCTCTATTAATGAATTACCTTTCCATCATCTTCTTTTTTAGCTCCAGCAGCAGCGACCAAGGCAAAATATTGAATAACTTTTTTTGTATTTTCTGTTTTACCAGCACCAGATTCACCAGTGATCAACATCGATTGATTTTCACGATCTAGATTTTAAAGAAATTTAGGATGAATTTTCTATTAACATATGACACAAAGATAAACCTATATGTATGAGTATATTTCATAGGACTTGATTTTTAATTCAATTATGAATTTTTAGAATAATACAGTGTTTATTCTTTTTTTTATTACATTGATAACCAATTAGATAATTTAAAGTATCTTTTTTTTCTATTGATTATTTCATAGAATAAACAAAATAATTTGTTATGATAACTAATCTCTTGAATTAATTAGTTTTGCTTGATTTACATCGTTCTTTTTTAAGAACATCTGTGTCTGTATTATCGATAATATCTTAGTCTTATTGTATTTAGATTAAAAACAAAATATATAGCAAAATATCGAAAACAATCATTTGGAAAATGTCTCAATATGTTATTGTCATTTCAACATCTTGTTTGATTATTAGTATTGTTTGTCTCAATCCTTATAGCAGAGATTATTCTAGAGAGTAAAATAAGCGTGTCCTATTTGGTTCTGTTAAGCGAAGATTTTTTTTTGTCCGGAAAATTGCAAACATTATATTCCTTTTAAAAACAGATGTTTTGATTTGCTTCGATAATATCAAAAGCTAGAAGAGTAATACTAATGTTATTATCAGATGATTTCCAAGACGATCATATATCTTATCAGATGCGTAGTTTGGAATGGAAAAAAAAGTAGTTTGTTCTCATAAAATAACAAAAGCTGTATTTAGATCATGATATTTAATGAGAAAAAAAATTGCGAAATAGAGCTGTTTCGATAAATTAGCTTACCCCGAAGCATATTAGCATAAGCATTGTCAGAAATAGCATATAAATGTGGTGCAACTTCAGTACGTTTTTTACCACGATATGAAAGTACTACTTTCATAGTATAGATTGGTAAACGTTTATATGGATTAATGACAACACAAAATAATCCTGAATAAGTCTAGAAATAGAAGAGAAAAAAAACGTTTATATTATTTTATATCATTATCAATAATCATACATAGATAAGCCATCGTGAATAACGATCACGTAAAGTAGCTAAAACTGAAGCATCATTCAAATAGGTTAAATCAGCCATATCATCAATACACCAATATTTTGGTGGATTCATTTCTTGAACATCATCTTTTTTCACTGTTCTTGTCTAAGTAAAACAAAGAAAAGATTATTGATTAAAGAATTTTCAATGAAAAGAAAAAAAAACCATTCTACATACTTCTCCTTTGGATGTTTTGACTGTAACTTCATTATCTTTGACACTTTCAATTTCAGCAGCAATAAATGATTCCTTTGGATCAGGTACCCAACATGCTTTTTTAGCATCAAATGGTTGAGATCGAAGTTTAATTTTTTCTTCAGATGGTAAAGCCAAGTATTTCATGGCGTCTAATAATTCAGGATCATTTGGATCAAGTACGACTCTGTAATCAATATTAAAATAAAAATTATTCGTAAATTTATTTCAAACAATTCAACATACCCTTCGGCAACCATGATTATAGTTTAGTTCAATAAATGTTCTAATATATAACAAAAAGAAAAAAATAAATAAATAAATAATTTCTATAGAAAAAAAAAATATTTAGTTTTCAATAGTCAATACCTGATAGATAACAGGACGAGCTAAGGATGCGTGTTTTGCACACAAACGGTAACTTTGTTAGTTAGCAAGCCGTTTATATAGTTTCGACAATGAGAGATCGGAGAGAGAGAGAGAGAGAGAGAGAGAAAAAAGAATAAATGTCATAGGCATAATCTGGTTATTCCATTATTGTCTGATTACTTTATAAGGCAATATTTTATGCTTCGCTCTTTTACCATAGAATTATTCTGGGATCTTATGTGATGCTTGAGCAACTTCTTTAATATATCACATACATATGTCGTTGTTGATATGAGAATTCAATGCAGTTTGGACTGCGCGAAAGAAAATGGAAAATATCTTTTAGCTCTAAGGTTATTATAACCATAAAGCTTTACAAAACCAGATGAAAATGATTGATATCGATACAATATCAGAATTTGAAGTCACCTTAAACTTTGTAAATACAAGAAAACAAAGCTTTAAGTTTTTTGGATGATACTATTCAGACAAGAAATTGAGCTTTCAATTTCATTAGAACTCAGAAAAAATTTATTATCAATATTTATGTAATACAAAATTTGCAATATGCAATACTCATTGTTTTAGTTCAAATGAATAAAACATTAATAGCAAAAGTAACAAAAAGTTTGTTACTGCAAACATATATATACAATTATTAATAACATCTTAATATTGACAAGATAACAAAGATATATTATCCATAGACAAAGTAATCATAACCTTAATTTTTTATTATTTCGATCATATTCTTAGATCGTGTGTTAGATAAGTATAAACTGTATTAAACATTTTTGTTTCGGTATAGCTTTTATATTCTGAGTTTTTTCTGTTATTCAAGGAGTATGTCTACCGTAAGGATACAACACAGTTTATCTTATTTCTTTTGCAACGTATAATCAATATGCTTCAGAATTCAGTTGCTTTCTAACGTTCGTCCTTAAATATTGATGATGCAGAATAATTTCTTTTTCATATGGAAGGGAAAAAACGCGTTCTTGCTCTAATAATCATAAATATGAATGCTTCGATGGAGAGACCAGACATGGTTAAAATTTTTTTGTTAGATGACAGTTTATCCAAATATCTGTTTTTGATGTCGACTGTGCAGTAGTCATGTATTTTATAGTTACTATTGTAATTTGAACAAGTATGTTTTGTTGATATATTACTAATTCAGACATGAGACTCAAAGAACAGTAAACGGTTACAATACCATTCTCAATGTACATGAATGATTTTCCTGAACACTTTATATTTTTTTTTTATTCTATAAATACGTCAATTAACCTATTGTGAGAGTATGCGAATGCGCAAGTGAGAGTATCAATATCAGTAAGCATGCATTTCTCTTCATTATCAATCTCATTCGGCCTAGACTCATACGTATCTTCACATTCACACTCACACCCTTATATTAAGTTTTGTTTGTGTTTAATAGTTGTTTATTCCAGATTAAAACCCAACTAAAATAAAAAGGAAAGATTATAATGAAAGATTATTACATAAGAACCAAAACAAAACATAAATATAATTGAAAAACAATTAACAAAAAGACAAATATAGGGGGGTTCTCATCTCATCAATTGATAAGTCAATAACAAAGGTTAAAATGACATGAAAAATTAGATACGGAAATACATTGAAAAAAGTATGTATAATTTATGCGATGTGTAAGAAATCAAAATATATAAACCAGAAGTCAATAATAATACACAACAATACAAAGTTTGACATTTTTTTTTCAAATATCATGAAATATTTTTAACAATAAAATATTTCTTTAAAAGTGTATTTTTCTATGTATAACCTCTTTCATATTTATTTCAGTAAGCTTCAACAAGAGCATTTCCTTTTGTAGATCTTCTGACATTTCTAAGAATTTCTTCAGTTACTAGATCTGTTAACATTTGTGAACTTGATGAAGAATTTATGTCTAACATTTCACAACGTCCACCTGTTTCATTGACAATCTGTTTAAAAACTGCTTCAGCTCGTTGTTCAATAAAAAAAGCATGTACTGGAATTCTATGTGCTTTCAATTTTTCTAACTCATCTTTATAATAGGTCGGTCGTGCAAATTTAGTTCCTTTCCAATATTTTTCTCCATAGTAGTTTCTTTTCTCATTTACTTCATTCTTTGTATTTGGAAGAGTATCACCTATCAAAATAACTTGTGTAATATTTTCTCTTTCATTTTCTTGATTTGCATGTCATACACAAGTTTCAATGGCTTGATTATTCCAACCTTCTTCAACTTCAATTGTATTCATAAAAGCATGTAAATTATCGGGTTTAGTTTACTATTATAATTTCGATACACAACAAACTGAATTTGGAATAAATCTGGTCTAATATCATAATCTTTGAAAATTTTTGAAGCTCGTTCAAACATAATGTCTACTGTTTTTTTTACACTTATGCAACAAATAGTACATTGAACTGGTTGCATCCATGAGCCAAACGGTTCGTGTAGTGTAAGATGCTTCTACTCCTTTATTCTCCTTCACTAAAAACTTTTTGACGGAATCGATATTTGCCAGAAATAAGATTCCATAAAAATTTTTTTGACAATTTTATGTTTTTCTCTTGCATGTTCAACATATTTTGTATTCATATCATACTTTGTCTTAAATAAATCAATGTATCTCTGATTAAGAAGATCATATATAGTTTCAGAATTATTTCTAATTCTATGATTATCGGAAATTCTAGTAAGAATTCCTTTACCCTTTTTAACATCTTCAATATCTGTTTCTTTTTCTATATGAAATTTCTCGAAATCACGATCATGTAGAATCATACTGTAAGATCCATGATTACCTTGCCTCGTTGTTCTACCTTTTATTTGTACTTCTTGTGATATTTTTTCTGAAAGAAATGTTTGAATAACATGAGTACCACCATTTCTAGTAGCAATTTCATCGTGACATTCCAACTAACCTATTCTGAATTTCTCATTGTATTACATTAAAATACTCATTTTCATTTTCAATCATAATATCATCTTGTATTGAAAATTTAAGATTATTTATTCCAAATGCACATGGTATATATGTATTTTTTGTAATCTTATATGCATTTTCTATTACTTTTCTTTCAAGATCACTTAAGTTTTTAATATATCTGTAATATCCATAATATGTTGAAATTCAAATGGTGTGGGGTCTGGGTCATTTATTCTTTCAGGCTCATCCACTCATACCCACATCCACATCCATACCAACACTTACTACTTTCTAAAATGTCGACAAATCGATCATTCACTAGTTATTGTTACGTGATTTCAATATATTTGATCACGTATAGGTACTACAAACAATTAATAGTTAAACTAACTACTTACTAGTCGCTAGCAATAGGTGAGTAGTAACAATTACCTTCCACTAGCACACTATAGAGGCTCTACTTACTGACAACTTTACAATGATATAATTTTTCAAGGTCCAGCTTATTTTTCTGATAATTATAACTTAACGAAAAAAGATCATTTGAATGTGTTTTTTTACCGCAAAAATACATGACCATATGTCAACCAGCCATTCAATAAGTATTTTGACGTGTCGATTTTAGGTTGTTGTGACCATCAAAATTTCAAACTTACCCCTCGGATTTTTATTTTCCGATGGGTCGAAAGTTCAGCGATGAATCAGTCAATCCAGACCTTTCCCAAAGGCATTAGAGTTTGATCAAAATAAAAAAGATTTTGAACTATAGATGTCTCATTCTCAAGTCGTCGAAATCTATCAAATAAACGTGAAGAAGAAAATTCAAACATGAATACTTGCGACTAACATTCGTCGAACTTCTACACTAAATATGAACTATTATTCTTCTCTGACATTATTTTTCTCAATTCTTAAAAAGATAGGACTGTTAACATTTCTATTTTAACATTTGTTAGCAGTTTTTAAATGTCAAAAAAAACAAACACTTTTTGCATATCTTAAACTGAAGAAAGGCTTTTTTGCTAGATAAAGCATAAAATCAATATTTATGAATTTTTTCCAAACGGTAAAACACAAAATTTGTTATAATTGTGTTTTTTGTCAAGACAACTTATAAATATCGGTCCTACTTGTTATTTTCCATCAATTAAATCGCTTTTTGCAGAAGCTGAATAAAGTTAAAATTAATCTCACCACTTGAAACTGTTATTCTGCTAGGCTTGTTTCTACTGGAGCACTCAATAGTATTCTTACGATGTGTTTCTTTTACTCGAGTACTCGAAACTTCAATGAGTGTTGAGACATCTGAATGTTCTTGAGAAGTCGAAAATAAATGTCCGATAAGGTACAGTTTTCGAGTGCTTGGAATCCGATTCCTTTCATGAGGCTCAAAATTGGAACAAAGCCAGCAAAATATGTATATTTCAAACTTTTGAGTGCTCATCACACCTATCGTATGCTTTCCAATGTCTGCTTGGATAAAATTTTTTTAATGATTTCGGTGAGAATTTTGGAAAATATACAATTCAAGAGCATTGAATGTAAATATTTCGTTAATAAACGCTTTTTTTTCTCATCAGACGAGCAAAAACTCTAAAAACCTCAAAATGGACTCTAAAACACGCATTAATAGCATCTATAGACGAATTTTTCAGCAAAACCACACTCCAAAAACCTTGCTCTTAAAAACTTGGTTTTCTAAAAATTTCCATGACTCCAAACAAATCTTTTTTGTTTTATCATCATTCAGAAGTTTCAAAGAAGAATCTATATCTTTAGCCTTGGCTTGGAAATTTTCTTTCGTTGATAAACGAATATTTACATTTGTATATTTGTACTTCCTCAAGTCGCCAACAAAAATCAATGAATACATGAATGTTAGATAGAATTGATCGAGTAATTTCAACGAAATTCTTTGATTTGAATCTCATAGTCGCTCTGAAAATGCGCGATACTTTTTATTGATTATTGACACTCTGTAGTTAATATATTTCTTGGACAATATTCGCAATGATCTTATAATAATAAAGTGATAATTGCCTGTTACATTTAGAGTATGATCCATTCCGTCGATCCTGAACCTGGTCCAATCTAGAAACAACATGAAAATTTCTAATGTTAAGCGAATCAAGACTAAACAACATCATCCTTTACTCTCAAATAAATGAAGGTGTACGACATAGACAACATCACCATTAACAGTATTAAATATGTAGTTTATAGTTTCCTAATAAAATTTTAAAGAAGACTCTTGCCTTCTCTACAATAGAATTGTAACAAAAAGTTATATTTGAATATGAGTAAGAATCAAAAAATTGATTATAAGAGATTGCAGAGCAACTAAAAAAAATTGAATTTATTCCAATAAGATTATCATATTTCTACATGAGCACTAGCAAAAGAGAATTTTGCCCTTTCTTTAGATGAATATTCAGTCTAGTAGCAGTGTATTTGATCCGAATTACTGTTCCTTGGACTTAACGTAATTGAGTATTTAAAAAAATTGGGTATCGGAGTAGTACGTGTGAAAGACAGTATGAGTGAAATAAATATTCACTGCAACACCTACATCTGAAAATTATTAAATACATCATCGGTATTAGCATCTGGATAGAATTCATCAATTGTAAGTGGTTATATCCATTCAAATGAAGACGATGGTTTTTATTACGAATAATTGAAACATCCATTTTTTCGTTGATAATAGATAAAAGTTTAGCATGTTATCCATACGACTCTTCATAATAGTGTCAATTATTGCCTGAGACAATATCATATGTTTCACTCAACTCAGATTGATCAATTTCTTAATAATGAGTGGTTGTATGTCATTTGTCTTCACTAACACTCTCATACCTAAAAAAATTTCAGTATGCCTGACTGCTATGTTTTTCGATCAAAAATAGTCTATTGCATGATTTGCAAGCTGTCTGTTTAAAAGTTGATCCGGAGCTAATTGAAGAAAAATTGTACAAAAGCAATCGAACAATCAAATGTCGCTTCAAACATATCGGTAGAATCACGCACTTCAAGTCCACATAAGTGAGTATTACTCTTTTTTGCAAGGACTTTCATTATTGGTTTCGATTAAGAACAGCTTTTAAAATAGATTCGGTCGTAAAGTTTAGATGTCGAAGGTCAATGCCATCTTTATGAATTGACAGCACTTTTTATCCTCAAGTGTGGATAGTATCCTTTGTATTGAATGTAGATCGAATATAATAATGAAAAACAGTATTATTTCTTCTATATGTATCAGAGAAAATGGAGCATTGATATACTAATCCGTACATTCTAAATTTCATCATTAGCACAATGATAAATATTCTTTCTGTGATCGACAAACAACAAGAACAAAATAGGAAAGAAATACACGTGCTCAAATCGACGAAGGCAAAAATTACTCACGCTTGCATCATCATATCTTGCAAAGTAACCCGAACGTAAAAAAAATGATGCAATAAAATTAGAAAACATATCCCGCAGCTCGGAATCGAACCGAGGCCATCCGATTTCTGTGATCAATTTTTTTTTACAGTCGGAGATCATACCATTAGACTACAGCGGGATGTCTTATCTTTTTTTCCTTCTTTTTCTCTTCAAGATGTGAGCTATTGAAAAGTTGTATTGATTTCAAAAGGAATATCTTCGGTAAAACACATCAGCTTTTAGTACATATTTTACATAGAGATAATATTGAAGGAGCAAATACTTTAAATTCGTTAGGGGTATAGCCATGAGTGCAATACCATTGGTCAATATTCAGCATGTTGGTAGTTTTTGAATGAGTGTATGGATTTGTATACTTTTGTATTGACAGTCAGCCATTCGTCTGTGATAATGCAATCAAATAACGTCAAGCAATTTGCTTAAGTATGTTGACATGAATAGATAGAACAATACAAGAGTAACGAAGAGAGTATAACCTGAAGCAATATTGATGTCTTCCTCATGAAGTAACATCTGGTATTTGAGAAGACGAAGAGCGTAAGAATGAAGCAGAACATACACACACAAAATTATGTTCTGCTTTGACTAATCAATAGACCAATTTTTTATGTGTATCAAACCATCAAACAAGAAGTATTAATAAGACCTTCCCCTTTTTCCGACCCACAATTTTCAGTTTTTTCGTTTTTTTTTTTTTGTGTTTGGCATGTAGATATAAATGCTCTCTATCTACTGAGCACATTTTAAGAAGGCAAAACCATCTTTTACATGTTCAAACCTCGGAAAAAAAACTTAAAGTTTTCTATGGGGTACTTCGATCAAATCGAAGTGTGTCTTTTTTTTTGTTTTGAAAATATTGTACCGATAAAGTTTGTAGGCTTTACAAAATTAGCACCAGTCAAAAAAAAGGCTTTTGTTAATGATTTAAGACATACCCTGATTTGTTTCTAGTTGTCACCTACGAAAATGTCCCGAATGAAAGCTTTTGTTCTACTTATCAAGATCTATCTACCATGAAAGTTTCGAAAATTTTCGCCGAACTGTTCTCAGGAAACGTCAGAAAGTGGGTTCCTTTAATATCATGCAAACGTCAATAATTAAATTGTCATTATCGGCTATCTGTATAGAAATATCTAATATTGAATCATCTCGAAATATCTATCGTGTCTTTTTACTATTGTGCTTGTTACTTCCTTTCGGACTGAAAAGGAACAAACCGACATAATGTTAGTATTTCAATAGTGAAGAAGACACACATTACTTGATAGATGAATAGATGAAAGTAAGTGTATGAAGCAACGAAGCGTCACATCTCTCATTTATTATGAACTTTTTTTTCATACTTATCCAATCGATCAATAATTATTGACTGAAAATTCTTCTTGAGTTACGAATATCTTTTCTT